GGCCACTTGGGGCGCTGTGGCAAGGCAGCCTTGCTCGGAAAGCTCTTGGATGCTGCAAAGCTTGCGAGGGCACAAGACCCAAAGTCTGTAGGGCGCAACCTCAGCATGTTGGGGCTGGCATGCTGATTACCCCAGAAATACTGGCCCTCCGTTGTGGAGAACAGACATCGTCCTCCCTCAGTGCCAGCGCCCTCCAAGCGCTTGGCTGCCCTGTTCCGCTCATCGCGAAGGGACCGCTGCGCACCCCTAGTCTGGCCACCGCCGGAGAGCTTTCAGACCCGGAGGCTTGCTTCCACGCCGGCAAGGGCAGCGCCCGCGTTCTGTTTGCACCTTGTTGCAGCGCACGTTCGCCAAAGGGCGGCAGGTGTGAAGGAAGTCCGCCGAATAGCAGGGCGTTAGAAGATGTGGCTCGTGGTGCCAGGCCTGGGCCAGGCCGCCCCTTGAGGGTCCCAGAGGCAGGGAAGCGGCTCACGCTCATCCTGCCCAGATGCTCTTTTGCAGAGGCTCTTTTGCACAAGCACCCACTTTTCCTCAGTAGAGGCCAGCCCACCCCTGGATTGACTCAGGCCTGGCCAATACAAGCAGCAGTGCGTATTCTGGGCATATACAGTTACCTTTTAAAGTGCATGCCCAGATTCGGTGCTGTGCAATTCTTTTGTTTCCCATGGCAGCTTTCCATGTGGGCCTCATGAGCTGACAAAACGAGAGCAGGCTGCAGCACTGGATGTGGCTGAGCTGGTCGCAGGCCACCGAAGGGTTCAGTAGCCAGCAAGAAGCTCCCGCTAAGGAGAGCTGGGACCTATTTGCGGCTCTTGCACCACGGAACAGGCCAGTTCTCTTGAGAAGTGGTGGCTGTTCTGCCTTTACGCTGACACTTCTTTGAAAGGAATGCAATGGTCGCATCGGCAGGAGAAGCTCGCCTCTGTGCACCAGCTTCAAGCAGCCTGGGGAAGTTGTCACGCCGGGCTTCTGCTCACACCACGGGAACACACAGCATCTGGGTCCTCGCTGCTGCTGCTGCTGCTAACCTGAGCTGCACCTGCCTGGGATTAGAGGACTGAACATCCAGCAGGTGTGAGTCCTCAGTGCCTCTCTCTTCAGAAACGAAAAGCTCCTGCTTGTGGTTTAGCTTTAGCAGAGGAAGGAGCACTGCAGGTAGGAGGGGGAATGGCATGCCCAACATCGGGGCCGGCAGGCAGTCTTACCTGACTGGCAGGCAGGCACCTGCTTGTGCAGCAGCGCCAGAGGAATGTCCAGGTCTACTGCTCTTCTGCTGGGCTTGAGGGATGACCACGGCTGCATAGGGCCAACTTGAGCACCGAGACCGGTCTCCAGCGCCCTCCTAGGAGCTTCGGCCCACAAGCCTCTCTCTACTCAATATTTAATCCCTGGGTAGGACTTTTCTTATTTCATCTGCAATAATCTTGCCAGGGCCAGATGGTGCCCTGGGGGCCTAGGTCGCCAGCAGGAATCCTCTGAGCTGTGCAGAGCATGACGTGCTCTCAGAGGCAAGAGGGAGTGCTGCGAATTGGGGCTGCTGAGCCAATCCCTCCCCTCCCCTCCCCTCCCCCCCCCAGCTGCTTCTCGCAAGGAGGCGAGGACAGCTGTGGGCACCTAATGGTGCTGCTGCAAAGAGCTCCCCCTCGCTGGGTCTCCTGCAAGGCCTGGGAAGACAACCCTTCACCTGCGCTAGCCGAGCAGCTGTGTTCTGGGCGCACTGAAGAATTCAAAGGCAGCAGAAGAGGAAACGTGGGCACAAAGATCCCTCTTCATAGCCCTGGTACCAAAACAGCTGCTCTTGCTGCACCGTTCGCTCGCTGCCTGATCCTCTCTGCACTGAGGCAGAAGTATAACTGGAAGCAGGTTTTCTGAAGCTCAGCCCCAGGATGCGTAAACATTTTGTAAGAAAAGCCGTGCTGGGTCAGCTCATCCCGTCCAGCCTGTCTAGCAGTCTGTACCGAGAAGAAACCAGCTGCCCACACAATCCCACAAGCAGAGATGAACACAACACCGCCCCCACCCTCGCAAGCACCCAGCGACTAGCACACAGTCCATTTGGGTTTTGGCCACCCTGAATAGCTGGCAGTGGCATCAGCAAACCTGGCTTCTTCACCACTCACTCCTAATTACAGATTGATGAATAGGTTGGAAAGCATTGGCCGCAAGAGGGAGCCCTGTGGGACGCCTCTAGTTATTAAACATCCCTGCATTGGGAGAAATTGCCACTTACTCCAACACTCTGCTTTCTGTTTATTAAGCAACTACTGACCCATAAGAGCCCCCCTTACCCCACAACTGCTGGATTTCCGCAAGAACGTTCAGTGAAGGGCTTTGCCAAAAGCCTTCTGGAAGTCCAGATAAACAATATCTATTCGCTTAACTGACAATCTCAAAGAACTGCAAGAAGCCCTGTTGTTGTTTTCAGCAGGACTTGTCCCTCTTGTGCTTAGCAATTCGAACTGTAATCAGGCCTTCAACCAATTAACTCATAGCAAATGCCAAGCTAACTGGCCTGTAATTTTCTAGATCCCGACAGATCCTTCTTTAAAAATTGGTGTTACACTGGTCACTTTTCAGTCCTCTGGTACAGACACCGGCCTTAGGGATGTTCCTATTTTTGCAAGATCAGCAATTTCATGTATGAGCCCTTTAAGAACTCCAGGATTGCTATCAGTAAGATGACATTCAGAATTTCTTCTGCAATGCTCCATGTTCTGGAGCACAATCATTTAGGACAGCAAAGTCTAACCTGTCAGGACTGGCAGCTGAAGGCACCCATCAGTACAACACTGCCTTTGATTGAGGCCTCCCCGATTCCATTCCCCACCTCAAGATCCCCATCTGAAGGCAGGCAGCAGCTCCAGCAATGACACTCATTTTGCAGCCAGGCACTGTCTGCCGAGTCTGCACCTTCCAGATGATCAAGGATGTGCAGAGAAGCACCTTCTCCAGCATACCCTTCCCTGCCCTTCCTATGGGATTTATCTCCAGAGACGGCAGTGTCACTGGTTCTCCGCTCCACCATGTTTCTGTAACATGTTTTCAGGCTCTCCCTGAAAACCAAGGGGAACTCCCTTATTTAGGCTCGGGGCTTCTAGCATTTGTGCAAAGGCACCCAAACGCGGTGTCCCTCCCCAGAGCCGTGCAACTCGCATTTTGGCACTCCGGCCTGACTGGTTCTGTCTTGCATACGTTGGTGGGTCACTTCCCCCGCATGTGGGCAATCACAAACTTATAGCAGAAGCTATATTCCTTCCCTAGGGCAGACTTAACTTGCACTGGATGCTCCCAGCTTCTGCGCTCTCTCCTCCAGGTGTCAGATTAAAAGCTGCTCTGCGCGTCTTTCATGTTATGTGCTCTGGCTGCATTTTGGTTCAAGCGGAGGCCATTCCTCTTGTACAGGCTCGGTGTTCCTCGTTATCTAACCGATCAGAACACCACTCTTTATATCGCCATCTCATCCGTGCAGGGATACTGCCCAGGTGTGCCTGGCCGCTGACCCTGCACCTGAATTGGTGGCATTTTAGAGAAAGCCACTCTGGTGGCCCTCGACTTCAGCTGTCCACCTAGCGGCCTAAATTTGGCTTCAAGGCCTATTCCATGGAGGAGTCAGCTCAGCAATACAGGGTGGAGTAGACTCTGCTCGCAGGAGAATGCAGTGTTCCCCCATCCCTGCCAACGAACTGCCATTAGATTCCGTTCCATCTCCACCTCCTGAGGGATCCAGCGGCACAGCTGTTTCAAGAATGAAGCCCCCTGAACAACCACGAGGCTCCCCTCCGTGTTCAGAGATGAGGCAGCGAGCAGCAAATGGGGTGCCCACACTCTGAAAATGGAGCTTCTCTCACGTCCCTTGGCAAACATGCAGTGAGACCTGGGGGGGGTTGGGAGGGGCTCCAGCAGCCCTTACTTCTAAAACCAGAAAAAGCACCTGCACCAAGACTCTAGGGAGTGACTACAGCAAACCGCCTGCCCTCGCCTCCCCCACGCTTCTGTGGCCGCCCGGCCTGGCGACGGGGTTGGCAGGCACAGCCTTCTCTGGGGGTGCAAAAACGGGCAACGGGAAAGACACGCACTGTGCTCTGGGAGCGCGACAAGCACTGTAGGCATCTCCCAGATGGTTCTTTCGGCGGCACGCTGCAAATGTGTTTTCGGAAGAGGGCTCCGCCCTGCTGCACCACTGAGCATCTGCAGGCTATCAAGGGCGGGCATGGCCCCTGCAAGCGGCCCAAGCCAAACTCACGTTCACCAGGCGCGTGTCTGCAATATGATCTTTATGCCAGCTGTGCGAGAAGCAGCCATGTCCACGGCGGAGAAGCAGCCTCTCCGCACGACCCTGGGGCTGAACGCCGGGCTGCATCCTGCCCTGTGGCCACCGGCCGTGGGGGCGGCTCCAGCAGGATGCCGCCTGCGCAAGCCCTCCCTCCACCCCTCTTCTCGTCACAGCGTCCCACCCCCAGGCGGGATTTCAGGTGGCCGCCAGGGCAGATGCGCTGGCCCACCAACGTGCTCTGTGGAGCTCCTGCAGCTCTCGCCGTGGTTAGGTCTCCTCCGACCCCCTCAGCAGTGCCCCCACCCCTTTCTTCATAACGTGCATCTCCTGCCTCCTCCCACTGACCGCTTACTTTAACTGCCCCTTCCGCCAACTTCTCAAGCCCCACGGGGCAGGCTTGGCAAAGAGCCACCGATGCTCCGAGCTGAGGCTATGGAAGGACAGTGCCTGTGTAAAACGCTCGCCCCGTCACTCTTCTGCCGACTCAAATGTCCTTACGACAGCCCCAGAGAAAGCCCGGCCACGCTCGCCAAGCGACCGAGAGAGCACAGCGGTGCGGGCACCGCTTGCCACGGGCTGCCACCTCAGGCTCCCGGCAGCCCGGGCGCCTTCGGACAGTGAGCCTTGAGGCCCCCTCCACGCCCCACCCAACAGCCAGGAAGGCTCCCGAGACGCACGCTCAGCCCCCACTTTGCTCTGCTACTCAACAAACAAGACCGACAGCAGCTGGGAGTACAAAAATAAGGTGTTTTCCTCATTGTATCAGTTATCAAAGAAAAACCAAAGAAAACAGGAACAAAAGCAGTGGTAAAAAAAGGTATACAAAGCACAGGGCCGGCCTGGCTGCCCCACTCCTCATGTACTGCACCCGGCACCCTCTGCGGCCCCTCCAGGGACCCCGTGCAGGCACTGCGCTGCGGCCCCGGGGGCAGGAATGTCTCAGGCCGCCCCAGTGAAGCCTCGGGGTGGCTTGCTCATTCTCCCTGTGCGTGTTGCAAGTGCGAGTCCTTCAGCTCAACTTTGCATCGGGCTCCCTGGTGGCGGCGTACGAGTAAGCTTTCCCCAGTACCAGTCGGTCCCGCAGGAGCTTGAAGAAGGCGTAGTAGTTGCTGAGGAGGATCAGGGCCAGGGAGATGGTCTGGTGCCACTTCTCCGACACAATCAGTGAGTACAGCTGGTAGAAGATGAGCCCCCCTTCCAGGAGAAGCAAGATGTTCATGATCCGCAGGGGACTGCTGAAAAAGAACTGGAAGGCCAAGAGATCCCACCACTGAGATGCTGACAGTCTCCCGGGACTGCTTAAGACTACAAGAGGACTAGAAACTTGCAACTGTGTTTTTTAAAAAAGGAAATGCATTCTAAGGAACATGCAGGTCTTCTTTGCCTTTTTCTGTCTGCCAAGTGCCAGCAAACCTTTAAGGTTGGGTAAGCTCTTCCGACTGACCAACTCACGATCCATCTCCCCTGAAACGCGCGGCCAGAGAAGAGCCTGCGCTGTTGCAGAAGCTGCATTCCCCATTCATGCGAGGCGAGCGGTCCCGCTAGGGTCACAACGAAGGCCTGATCGGTCAAAGATGGGGCTGCCCCCCGGTCTCCCTCCCATGCATCTCCCACTGGCAGCTGCCAAAGCTGTGGCTTCCTGGGGTGGCACCAGGTTGGGAACTTTTTTGTTGGACGTATTTTTTTCTTCAGCCAAAGAGGCTCCTGGAATGACTGACACACCATCTGTCAATCAAGACTGGTATTTGTTAACACCAGATATTCAGTTGTTTTTTTTTTTCCAAACAAGCACTTCAGTCCTGGTTGCACTACTTCATAACTTAATATATTTTCAATTTTATTCTTAGTATATCCTTCTATTAAATAACTAGTAAAATAAATTCTTAGTGTCAGATTTTATTAAGTGGTGGGAGGAAGCCTGTTTTACATGTGTAAGTTATTACATGGATAAAAGAAAAATGGAAATGCATAACAATGGGCAGCCAAGTCCCTGTGGACCTGGCCAAGCCCCCAACGCACACAGCCCAGATTCCAGCTCTTCAGGGGTTTGCTGGCGGACAAATTGGTATGGGAAAGCATCCCCAGGGGTAAGAAGGCAAAAAGGCGTTGTGTAAATAGAGAGGAACACATGCCTGCATCTCATTCTGTGCATGGATGGGCGGGGGCAAGGGAAATGAACACTTGCAAGGGCAAGGCCAGAAGTTGGGCTCCTGAAAGCCACATCGAACCCTCTTCCTCCACTGAGCCACCCTGACTCTCAACCAACAAAACCGACTCCAAACTGGGGCTATATTAAAGATGGGGGGCAGGGGGGAGCCCCACTTATCAACCGGGCATCAATTTAGTGAGCAGGCAAAGCTGTGGAAATTGAGCATGCCATGCACTTGCGCTCGCTCCCTTTCAGACGCACGGGGGAACGGATGCAGCGGAGCGGCTGGGGCGATCGCCCAGGACGGGGAAGGCCCAGGCCACCCGCTCCCCCAGTCCCCTAGCTGCACCGGCACTGGTCGTTTGCTCCCACCCTGACCTATGCCATGGGGTTATTTTGAGGATAAAGCGGGCAGGAGAAGCCTCGGATGCTTTAGACCGAAGCAGCATGGGGTAGAAATGGCATCCGCCCGCCCCTGCCCTGCCACTATAAGGAAAAGGGGGAAAACTTACATGAAAGCGGAAGTGGGAGGCATCGGAAGGCACGGCCACGTTGTAGTGGCCCACGGCTTTGTACACATTCTTGCTGTGTTTCACCAGCACCCCTTGTGGCCACATGCACTCCTCGGTCCACCTGCAGAATAAATGAAAAGGCAGCCGAGACAGGAGGGGAAGGAGCCACCGTGAATTCAGCAGTGCCGTGTTCAGTGGGGCTCAGACGCCAAGGAGAAGCCACCGGACAGAGGGGCACCCCAGTTTTTTGCATGCCACAGGCTACTTTCCCAGTTTGCTGGGACAGCAGGATGTGCTCATATGTGGTGCAGGGAGAGGAGTGGAAAGGGGAGGCGAGTATTTACAAGGCCAGAGTCTTGGGCTCATCTCAAAGGCTACTGATGGGCAGCAGTTCTGGACCATGCGGCCCCTGCGACCCCGAGGCGGGAGCGTAAGGGACTCGGGCACACCAGACAGCCCGACTTCAGGGCCGTGGCAAGATCGGCCTTCTCGGGTTGCCTGCTCTTCACTGGCACTGCTCCCCTGCCCTTCCACAAAATGTGACGGATTTCTCAACAGCACCCGGCTGGCTTGACAAGAAGAGAGAAAAGTGCCTTCACTGAGGTAACCGGGCTCTTGTTAAAAGGGCAGTATCTGGGCCATGCCCAAGGCCGAAAACCTCATCTTTCCATTCGACTCGCCTCACCAACTGCTTAATGTGACTACCAATTCCAGGAGAACGAGAGCACGCTGCTCCTGCTCTCTCTCTTGGGTTCATGCCCCCCTCTATCTGCCTCGCCCTCTCAGACTTGCACTGCAACCAAGACAGATGCTGGAAGAAGCTGGCAGAGGTCCTGGCCTCAGGTGGCGCTCAAGCGCTGTCCTGGGAAACCCCCGCGACCTCCAGAGGCTCCTCAAGGGTTCCATTATGGGCGGGCGGCAACGGCAAGGACATGCCGATGAAAAGCAGCCCGCCCAGGACTCCCGGGCTGTTCAGGGGCCCAGACCAACATGGGCTGGCATCCCACACATTCTGCCACAGGGATGCAGGAATTTCTGTGCCCATTAGAAGGGCTACCTGGCAGGGACTGGCATCCGCCATGGATGGGGATCCACGGAGGGACCCATGTGCGAGGAAGCCACGGACTCCACCAGTGCTGGGGAAAGCGGCTGCTCTGGTCAGAGCACAATTCCCCCCTCGAAGGCAGTGCACGCCGTGTGAACACGCCTGCTCCTCCTGGCTCCAGCAGAGCTCGCTTCGTGGCCACCCGCAGCACGGCAAAACAGCTGGGGGAAGGGGCAACGGCAGCAGAGGCCCCTGGCGTGCTCTGATGCAGCGGGGTGGGGGCGGGGGGCAGCTTCCCGCCCCGAGCAGTTCTCCACCCCTGGCATCAGCAGCAGCGCAAGGAGAACTCCCAGCATGGACGAATGCAAGCGCGGGCTCCGCCCGCAGGGCCCACGGCCTGCCAACACGCGCGAGGCAGGCTGGGGGCGGCAGGGGTCCTGCCCGAGCGCTGCTTACTGATGCTGCAGCACGTTGGAGCAAAGTGCAGGGTCGACCTTCTGCCAGCAGCCCAGGTGCACCGCAGCCTTGTGGAGCAGGTCGCAGTAGCGGGCAGGCAGCAGGTGCTGCATGAGGATGACGGAGGTGCTTATGGAGACGAGGAGGAACAGCTCGCACGACCACCGCTTGTCATAGTACTGCGTATTCTGTGGAAAGGCAATGGAGAGGGTGTGCACCGCTTCAGGAGGGAGCTGCCCCTGGAAGGGCTGGGCTCCCACACCCACCAGAGCAGCGTGTGCCAGGGGCAGCTCGGTCTGCAGGACTAAGCCTGTGGCCACAATGTCCTGCTCAGGCATCCTCCACGGGTAAGGGCTCTAGGGGCTGGGATGCTCTGAGGAGCAGCACAGTTCATCTGGAACACACCTGGTTTTATCCCCTGGAGAGACCTCAAACAGGAATTGAACCAGGCAGGCCTCTCACTGCCACATCGAGTGGTCTGCCTTCACCAGTGAAGCATGCGGGAGCCCCCCAGGCGTGCTGAGGCAGAAAAAGAGGCCTAAATTGCCGGCCTGCTCCACCTATGCTGGGAGCTGCTGGACTACTTACGTACTTATTTAGAGTTTTTGTATGCCGTCCCATCGTTTAACGCCTCGGGACGGCTTCCTCTCTAAACATGCATAGGAGGGTGTCCTAAGTAATAAACCCTTCAAAGTAAAGGCTGTGGCCCTGCCAGGTGGCTAATGCCACACACAGAAGAGCCTCCAATGAAGGGAAGGGAAGGGAAGGGCAGCCTCCTGCCCCCCAGAGCCAGCCTGATGCCTGTGGAGCTTCACGAACACAGAATGCCCCCTGGGGCAGCCTTCGCCCCCTGCCTGCCCCACTTCTGGGATTCTGACTGGTTCTTCTAGCAAAAATGTGCTCGGCTTCATTTCCCCTACTCCACAAAGGCGACCTGGGGACGCAGCTGGTCTTTCAGGATTGCCCAGATGACCACACACCCCTTTCTGCGACCCTCTGTGAGCTTCCAGCCTTCCGTGTGGTTCCTTCCCACCTGTCCCACGAGGCTGAAATGCGTCTGAGATTTTGCTACCGGCAGGAAAAGCTTTATGCTCCAGTGGTTCGGCCTCGCCCCTTTTGCCTTTGGCTCCGTCCACCACATGAATGTGGCAGCCATCGACTGCTGTTCACCCCGCCCCAACAGGGGCTCAGGAACCCAGCCAAAGCCCCCAGTCACACGAGTCCAATCCTGCGCTGCAGAGGTGCCCCTTGCCGCTCGCTCACGCACCTTCACGAACCAGACGGGCACAAACGCTACGTAGTAGGCGCTGAGCATGGAGCTCAGCAGCACCTCCTTCATGCGCCAGTTGAAGTCCATCTTCCGGTACTCCACCTCATGGCGGATCAGGTCTGGGGAGAGGCAGCAGGCGTGGGTGGGCATGGCCTCCACGCCATACGCTTGTCGGGTGTGCTGCTTCCAGGTTTCCTTGAGAACTGACAGGTAGTCCCTGTTCCTTGCGCTAACCTCGTTCGTATCACGAGGGCCAATGGTGGCCACTTGGGAGAAGAGGCCACTCTTGCGAAAGTCGCAGTTCAGCTGCAGGAAGGGGATGTACATGCCGAATCTGCGGGGAAGGAGAGAGGAAACTGGTCCCCAAATCACTGATCTAGAGAGTGCCCTTTGTGTGCACAGCATGTTACAAGAAGGAAAGGACAGGCTCCAAAAGGCCCTCGGTTGTGCAAACCATCCCACGGATGCCGTGGCCAAAGGAAAGACAACTGAGGCAGGGTGGGAAGGGGAAGGAGAGGCAACGCTGGCAGCTGCAGCTACTGAAGGTCAGTTGTAAGGTCTAGTGGGGAAAGGGCAGGCACCTCGGGGCAGAGCAAATGCTGTGCCTTGCACCTCCCACCGTCCTCTCCCGTGGCTATCCAGGCAAGGCTGATGGGAACTATAAACCCTGCGGATGGCCACACGCGCAAGCCTCTCCCCCTGCCCCTGCTGCGCAGCAGCCTACAAGAGCAACAGATGGCTGGGCCAATGGCCTCACGGAAAACGCAGGCCTTGAATATCACTGCAGTGGCACCTCAGCTCACGAACGCCTTGGCTCACGACCAAATCGGGTCGCGAACAAACATTTCATGAAAATTTTGACGTGGGTAGCGAACTCCACACTGGGTGGTGACCAAGATCGCAGCCATCTCCCCCCAACCCAGTGGGGAGATGGTCGCGATCGTGCTGGGGGCGGGGGGGGGGATGGCAGAGATTGCGCCCGTCTCTCCCTCCCCCGGCGCGTGCAGGGATGGCAGGCGCAATCTCGGTCGTGCTGGGGGGCAGGGAGATGGCCGTGCTTGTGCTCGGGGTGGGAAGGGGGAGATGGCCGCAATCTTTGTTGTTCTTTGTCACTTTGCTTCACATTTTTATGATTAAAAAAATGGTTACAGAACGGATTAACCTTATTTACATTGAACCTTATGGGGAAATTTAACTTGGCTCACGACCAATTTGGGTCACGACCAGAGTCCTGGAATGGATTAAGTTCGTGAGCCAAGGTACCACTACACTCTAGTTTAAATTCTTAATGCTTTTCCTGCAGAGTAGTCAAGGTGGTGCGTCAGCCATGTCGGCCAAGTCCAACTGCGCAGAGCACAATTCCCCCCTTGAGGGCAGTGCAGCGGAGGCCTCTGCAGAGCTTGACTGCGGGGGACAGACTGGGAGCATGCAAAGGCCTTCCAAGAAGCAGGGCCCCCCTTGCCTGCCCCCTGCCTCTTCTCAGGTACAGGAAACAGCCGTGCAGGTAGCAATGCTCAGAAAGAAGCAGTCTGAAGGTGGAGAGCAAAGCAGTGAAGCTGCAATATAGGAAGGTACTCACGGATAGCACAAGAACAGAAGGTTGAGGAGCGAATACGTCCGGAAGAGGTGGAAGATGGACCGGCACAGACTCCAAACCGCCCCAGTAAGGACAGCAAAGTGTGTGATCAGTAGGAAAATGGAGCATGGCAGGGAGACTTTGCCGGTGCGGGAAGCCTGGAAGGGCAAGAGGGAGAGAGAAATTAATGCCCCCACTCCCTCTGGGGAAAGCCACCCACACCCCGGGATTCCAGGTTTCACTTCCAAAGTTGTAGGGCTGGAACCTTTAACGGCAGGATTAAGTACCATTGACTTCAAAAGGACACGGTTCTGAGTAAACATGTTTGGGACTGCACTATAATGGCCGAAGGCAAACATTCTCGAGGGAGCGCCTCTGTTTGCCCAATACTTGCCTGTGCCCATTAAGAGAGAGGTCTTCCATCCTAATCTCACTGGTAATTCCCTACATCACAGCTGCACTCCTATACATGGACAGGGGACCAGGATGCCCCCCAGGGAGCACGGGACACCAGGAGAAATCGCCATGCACACTGATGCAATTGCCCCGCTCCGTCCAGCTTCTCCCTGGGCTGTCGGCATGGAGGAAGAGACCCCACCGGAGCCAGAAGATGCACCTCCGGGCTTCAGCCAATGTCTGGCGTTCCTCCCGCGTGCAGACAGGGTGCGTTCCCTGCTGCCCACATCCCTGCTGTTATCTCTGACCCGAGGAGCAGTGGGGATTCCTCCAAGGCACAGGGCTTGAAGGCGTGCTCTGGTGGCCTCTCAGCATTCTCGCCTCGCATAATGTGGCGGAGCGGAAGGGACACTGAGAACTCCCCTTCTCCAAAGGCTCACCAGTGCTTGTCTCTGCTTGCTTATGGGGAGCAGGCAGTGGGCACAACCCACAGGCAAATTCCTCTGTGGAAGTGCCACTGAAACGATCTGCAGCTGCGAATGAACACAGCTGTGCCTTACATGAGAAGCAAAGACCAAGGCAGAAATTGAAGAACAGAGCTGGAAGGCCCCCGAGTCCAGCCCCCTGCTCAGTGTTAGCTCCAAGTCACAGCAACAGACTGCGTCTAGGCTGACCCCTGGCTCCAGCTGGCTCCGCTCATGCAATCCCAACATGGGGTTGCCCAATCTTTCCTCGCTGATGGGGCCTAAACCACCTCCCGTGGAAGCCCATTCCATGTCCTAGGGGTCTGAACTGTCAGAAGTCCTTCCTGACATCCAGCCAGAAGCTCAGGTCCTTGAGCTCTGCCCCTTTGGAACACATCCTGCCCTCCACTGCAGGGAGGAACAGCTCACGGCCCTGCTCCACATGACATCCCTTGCATGCCGATAAGTCACTGAAAGATCCCTTCAGAGTCTCCTCTTTTCCAGGCTGAAAAGACCCAGTTCCCTCAATCCATTCTCATATGTCATCCCTTCCAACCCAGCTACCATCCTTGTGACCCTGTGCTGAACTGATTCTAACCTAGCTCTGACTCTCCTATAATGTGGAGCCCAGAAATGGATGCAGTACCCCAGCTGTGGGAGCACCAGAGTCAAGTACAGTGGTATCAACACCACCCCAGATCTGGGAGCCATGTTTCTGGCTATGCGACCAAGGGTGGTGTGTGCCTGCTTATCCGCTGTGTCACACTGCCTGTTGTTGACAAGTATGCCAAGGTCCTTTTCATGAGTGCTGCTCTCCAGCCACTGGTCCTCCATCCTGTACCTTTGACACCTGTTCCTGTGTCCCAAGTGCAAGACCTTGCACTTATCCGCACTGAATGCCATCCTGTTGTGCCCTATCCACTTCCCCAGCCTGTCCAGATCCATTTGGATCACCTGCTCCTCAGCTGTGGCCACTGTCTCCACGTGGGTTTCATCCATGAATTTAGTCAGCAGAATTTATCCCCTCCTCTAGGTCACTGATAAAAAGACTGGACAGAATCGGTCCCAGAACTGAGCCCTGGGGGACTCCACTCATCACAGGCTGCCATCCCACTGATTCCCCAGTGATAGTCACCCTCTGTTTGCGGTCCGTCAACTATGCCCTAATCCATCAGGCAGTGCATCAATCTATCCTCAATTTCTCAACCAGAGAATCGTGGGGCACCTTGTCAAAGGCCCTGCCAAACTCCAGGTGAACCACATCTGCCGCGTCCCCTCCGTCTAGCCATCCTGAGACATTATCACAGAATTCCACAAAGCATCCCTGACAGACGGCTGTCCAGCTGCATCCTGAACGTCTCCCGTGTGCGAGGGCCTGCGACCTCCCTGCATAATTGGTTCCCCTACTGTATTATTTCTCCTGATGCCCAGCCAGAATCTGGCTTCCTGTATCATAAGGCTGCTGTTTTGCAGGGTGTGAGCGCCCCTTGGCTCCCTCAGCTGACAAGGGGCCCCAGGCCTCACCTCCTTTATCTCCTTCACAATAGCACTGATCAGCCTCCTCGCCAGAACTATGGTCGTCACCACCAGGACATTGAAGTCAATGAGATGAAAATTCTGCAGGAAAAGCATGAAAAGTCTGGTTGAGCCAGCAAGTACGGAAAATGGAACCCGCAAATGGACCAAAGTACTGCAGTTTCTTAAAAGATGAAAGGCTGGTTCTCTCTGTCTAACTCTAATCTGGTCTGGCTGCCTCAGCTGTACATTCCACATGGTGTTTTGCTTGAATTATGACTCAGCTATCACCCCCAGATATTAAGCAGCAGCAGTCTCATGCTTCTGTTCACTTCATGGCTCTCTCCCTTGGCAAATGTGCTGCAAAGCTGTGTTCAGGCAGCAACTACCACCGCAGACCTTCACGTACAAGCTCCTTGGTGTGGCACACTAGCTTCCTTTTCAGGGAAGTGTTCAGGGCATTTTTAACAACACACTGCTTTGCAGGTCTCAGTACTTCACTGGCTTCATCGCTGTGCTTTTGTGAGCTGGCCAATGGGAAGCAGGATAGAAAGATACTCACCAATGAGGTATGAGAAGGAGGATGAGATGGTGGGTACCACCACACCGTTTTGTAGATGTTGATGTAGTGGACGAAAAGAGCAATGAGGTGGCAGAAGAAGAGCTGGAGTTCAAACAAAATGCTCCTCTCGATGGGCAGCTCCGGGATCTTGCAATGCTGCAGCGGGACCACTGTTTGGGTTGCCAGAGGAGGACTGGAAAGGCCTGTCCCTGACCCACTCCTATGGGGCAGGGAAGAGGGGGAAGAGGAGACAAAAAGTAAACTTAGGCAGAATCAAAACAATAAAATGCATCAAACCCTGACATTAACTTTAAAGTGTTAGTACATATGAATTTGCTGCTGTTGGTGTGAATTACCAGCTCTTCCCATTTTTCCAGTCCTTGAGCCAATTCCTCCTTTCCCAAGGCAAGAAGGAGCCTTTTGAAGCTACCGTCCTATTATTGCCATGTGCTAAGGCATGACTAATAATAGTAACATTCTCGTATTCTTCCAAAAAGCAAGGGAGCTCTCACAAAGCCATTCAAATCAAGGAACTCGTGGTCAGCAACAGAAGCACCACAATAACGTTTAGCCCTTCGTAAGATGCTGTGTGCAGATGGCACCTTTAGAGGAACTTCAGAGGTCAACCAGTGCAATTTCAGCTGTGGGAAGGCTTGTGGAGGTCAAGCAGTTCGACTGCACACAAACGTTGCATCAGCCACACTGGCCACCACTTCATTTCTGTACTTCTTTCAAAGTGCCAGTATCAATGCCGAAAGCCCCAAATGCTCTGGGACCACTTGCCCTGCCCCCAGGCTTGGCACAGAGGCCAGTCAGGTAGGCAGGCACTAGAGACGGGGACTTCTCAGCTGTGGCTCTCCATTTGCAGACCACCCCCCTCAGTTTCACCCCCCCCACTTGCGGCCTATACATGGATTCTAAATACTTCAGAATATTTTCCCTTTAAATCACCTGCAGGGCTGTACTTAAACAGGACATGAATAACAGTTAACATTGTTAACTGAAAACTCTCTAAAACAGGTGGGTTTTACCATCTAAGTCATGCAATTATGCATGGTGGAAAAAATTTCAGTCCTTCCATGTTTCCCTGCAAATTTTTCCATTTCACATGATCATTAGTAAAAATGAAGGGGTGTTACTTATAAAGGTAATAATACGCAAGCCTTGGAGTTCAATGTTCCAATTACTGTTTATCAAGCAGCTTCATAAATATGTGAGCAACACGTATTTATGTGGCAAATATTTGAGTGAACACGTATGTCAGGACAAATAAAAACTTCATTTTTTTCAGAAATGATTATATACTCCACAGGATTTAAATGAGTATAGAAGTTGAAACATACGAGCTGTTGTCCGTACGCCATGCACACAATATTCTGTGGAGTAAAATGTATTAGGATGCAGTTCTATTGCAATACCTGTCAGCCCCCCGACTTGGAAGCTGAAGATCATTGTAAGCAGAGCTGGATAAGCAGTGGAGGCTTTTTTGAGTCTGCAGAAAGGGAGGCGAGGAGGGTGGAGAAATGTGAAGGAAGCTGGCCACCTGGCCTCTCCAGTCTCCTCTCCTCCCTTCCCCTCCATCCTAAATGCCCTCTTTTGCCCCTCTCTGAAGTTGCTTTCCCAAGCTCAGAGAGCAGCTGGCGCGCTCCGTCTATGGTTTCATGCAGAGTATCTTAGTGCAGGGCAGCTCAGTGCTCCTATGCCCATTATGCTGAAAGGTGCCGAGACAAATAAACAGTGGCATGCCCAAGAGCACCTAGTGCAGGCCTGGGGAAGCACAGGCCGAAGGGCCAAATCCTGCCCTCCCAAGGGACCAAATCTGGCCTTCCGGTGTTCCCCAGACAGCTCCTCCAGCCCCCACTGGCTCTACCACCAATCCTCTGATGGTTCCCTGGCTCTTGTGAAGGCCGTTTCCCCCATTCAAAAGGTAGAAAGGCCTCTACAAATGTGCTTGCTGCCAGAAAGTCCTAAAACAGTATGAGAGGGTGGGGGCATTTTTGGCCCCAATGCCTTGACCTTCAGCCCCACTCCTCCCTTGCCCACTAGGGAATGAGCCTCCCTGGCCCTTCTTCAGCACTAAATTGGGCCCGCAGGCTCAGTTTCCCCCGCCTGCACCTGGTGAGTTTGCTGCTGGGGTGAGATCTGAACCAAAGACTTCAGCTGCCTCTGCGACAATGCGTTGCTTCCCTTCCCGCATGCTGTACAACAGAGCCTCCTATTTAACCAGACAGTGAAATGGGTGCATGTACTGGGCCGACGTGAACCCGCACACGAGTGTGGCCACTTTCAGATTTGACAGAAATCTACCCGTTAAAGTCACTCAATTGCCCCCACAGCCTGGGCTCACCTGGTACGTGAGCGCACACCGGTTACTGAAGAGCTGGTGGAATGGCTGGTGCCCCCAGCAGCCCCCGTTTCACAGAGAGGATTGCGGCAGTAAGACGTCCGGTTAGGTCCCCTTCTTCCCCCTGCCATAACCACCGAAAGTCAAGCAGCATCGGTCTCCTTCCTCAAATTATTCCAAGCACTGGAAATGAAAGCTTTGTTAGGCCTCTGCAGTTAGAACAATTCCTTGGCTATCTTCAAAACACATTGGCCATTCTGGTTTTAAGGCCCGAGTTCCAGTTCAGGGCAAGATGCAGGAACAGGATGTAAGCTTAAAAATACAACAATAAATTTTCCAGAGAGTGAACGACTCATGGGAAATTTGGTGCACACACAGGCAGTAAACTTTAGTACATTTAAAGAGTTCCACAATTGTTATCACAGTGATATTCCTAACAACTCTGAAAGGCGGCCCAATATCGTCCCGTATTACAGATGAGAAGCCAAGAGTCAGCGATCGGCCTATGCCTGCTTAGAGAGCTTCCTAGATCACCACTCACTCTCTTAGCCACTGTGTTACATCAGCAACCTTTATGTATTAATCATCTCCACAGCACACAGACAAACAGTTGCTTCACTTTAGCATGCCCCCTTTCACAGATGTTGTGTCTGTCTTCGGGAATACAAACGCAACACTTTTAATGCATGCAATACAGCACTAAGAAGGAGTGTCTGTGTGCCTAGAGTTCATGCAGGTGTCCAGAGAGCAAAGCTCTGACAGTTCCATCTTTACCACACGTCCTCCTTCCCAGCCCTTGCTATTAGAGGGCTTGGCAGGGGCAAGTTCTATGAAGGGTTGAGCAAGCAGCAGCAATGCCATGGAAGAGGACTGGTTCTGAATGTGCGCTAACTGTTCACCTGTGAAATAAACTGAGCAACTAGAGGCGCAACCCTATCACCTCCATGCAAGATATTCATAAGCTTCTAACTTATTTATTATTAATAGCTCGCTTTTTAAAAAAGAACCCAAAAGCTGCTACTGCTCCTCCTGCTCTCAATCTTATCCTCACAACAGCCCTGTGAGGTGGGCTGGGATGAGAGTCTGTTACTGGCTTAAAGTCACCCAGTTGTGGCTCCATGGCTGAGCAGGGACTCGAACCCAGATTGCCTGCGTCCCAGCCCCATGCTCTTAACCACTACACCACACTGGCTCCCGCGACTTGGGAGCTTAAGAGCATCCAAAGGCAGGAGAGTGGTACAGAGGTGGGTATTTCTACCAGCACTGAACCCTGAACACTGCATTTTCTTTAGATGGCTGTTAATGGCCATGTAAATACTGTGCTGCGAAGGTAAGTAGGCCTGAGTGCCAACTGGCATAACTCCACGTCCCAGCCTGCTTGCCTACCTACCCCGACACATCCATTCCTCCTCACTCTATGAAGCCCTGTTGCAATTCTGGGGTGGGGGGAAGGGCTGCTGGAGCAGTTATTTTGATGCAAGCTGCGAAGAGATGGGACAGGGCCGAATGCCTTTGAATCTTAGTGCTGGGACTCAGGAATATCACCCCCACCCCTGCCACAGAACTGCATCCCATGACAACAGTCCTATCTAGGTTCAGACAAGAAAAAAAGGCCCACAATCATTAGCATGTCCCAGCCAGCCATGCTAGTAATTGTGGGCCTTTTTTCCCCGGTTTAGACATGCATAAAACTCTGCAGTAACAGTGTAATCATACGGTCCTGGGTTAAGTGCCCCAGGGACCACAGGATGACTTTAACACCCCCTTCCAGTGTGTGAACTGCACACTGGGAAGTGCAGATCTGCCTCCACCCCCTTTGCAGTTGACACAAGGAAAGTTTCAACTCCAGTGAGTGTAGGAGTTCTGGAAGTCCAGGAGTTTGGGGACTTGGAGCAGCAGTCCATAGAATCATGCCCTAACCTGTTTTCATATAGTTGTGGTGAGGAAACAATCAGATAAATTGGTATTGATGGAAAAGGAAGATAAATCATGATAGGTCATGCTGAGCTGACGACAAGCTGCAAAATTACAAATAATATAAATGTTTAATCATTTCCAAATAGTTTAATCCCATTTAGCAATTCACAAGAAAATACCTGAGAGGTTTACAATCACGAAATCAAAATGCATCACCAACATGTCAGCAAGGTAACAACCCACATTTGTAACAAGCACAAAAACGCTCTGCTGAAGCACAACAAAGCGTGCCTTGAATGACCCTTCTCAACCCAAGAGGGGGGGGGGTGGCGTCCTGGGCCGTAAGCCTGCCTGCCTCTCTGCCTAACACAGAGCATAACACGCATGCCGTATTCTGGGGACAACCTGCACACCCCGTGGATCCCTTTCAGGGAGCGCTCTGATGCTCGGAGTCGAGGCAGATCTGGACCCTGCTGCAGATTTATCTCCAAGCGGAGCAGGAAGATTTAAAGCACCGGCACCCGGCCACCCCCCTGGGATAAGGTAGTCCTTTTGCCTGGGCATGTCCAGCCCGGCCGCGGGCACGGGCGTCTGCGTGCACGCGGGAAAGGAAGGGCTGCAGCACGCCTCGGCTTGCGAGGTCCGCGCCGGCCGGATCGCCGCGCAGCGGCGGCACAGGCAGCCAGTGCCTGCCTCCGACGCGCAGGGAGCCGCCGGCCGCCCTGTGGCCACGAGCCGCGGGGGGGGGGCACGCCCGGGGCGGGGTGAAAGGTCAGGGCCGCGGCGGCGGGGGGGGGGTCGCGGGCGGCGGGGCAGGTGCGGCGCGGGGCAGCCCACACCGACACGCCACGAGCCCGGGGCGACGTGGCCGGCCGTCTCCCCCAGCCCGAACCCTTCCTCCTCACCCATTTCGGAGAGGCGGCGGCGACTCCGTCAGCCGCGGGAAACAAGATGGCGGGCGGAGCCTAGCGCTCTCGCTCGGGGAAAGCGGGCACGGCGGCCGCGCGGGGACAAAAGGCCGGGCGAGGCGGCCCACGTGGTTGCTGCAGCGGCGTGCCGCCTGCGCGCCTGCGCGGGTGCTCCGGGAGCGCGGCCCCCCGAAGCAACCGGCGGGCGACGTGGGGCGGGGAAGGAAGCGGGCGGGCGCCGTCTCTCGGGCAGCCTCCCGCCGCTGGGCTCCGTGCCGGCGCTTCTGCAGCCCGGCACGGAGCGCTCCCCCGCCGCCGTGCGCGGCGAGGCCTCCCGAGCACTGCTCGTGCGGAACCTCCCGGGTGGTCGCGGCTGGCAGCCCCGTGTGCGAGCCGGGCGCGCCTCGTAGGGTGGCGGGTTCCTTGCCCAAACGGCAGGACCCCTCGAGGCAGCCGCGGGCCTCCCCACGCCGCCCCTTCGCGCAGCGCCTGCGGCGGTGGGTTCAGCCGACCCCGCTTCCGAGGCTAGCAGCCAAGCCTGGCCCCGTGGGGACGCCTCGAATGCCCCCCCCCCGTTTGCCCCTTGAGTAATTTGGCAGCCCGCTTCATTTTGAGAGTCTGCAGAGTCAATAGGGCTGCCCCCATGTACAGGCATGGTTCCCAAGATCTGGGACCTTTCTGCAGATGAGCTGGGGCAGGTGGACTTCCAAGTACAGGGCCTTTTCAGTGGTGGCACCTGCTCAGAAACACTCTCCAGGTGTTTACATGGCCTTATCATTTGTTACACTCATGCTTTCAGCCCGACCTACTTCACAGGGTTGAGAAGGTAAAATGGGTGAGCTATGTAAGCTCACAAAAAAGGCAGGAAATAAGCACACTAAATTCACACACTGACTGCCTTTCTCTGAAGACAGCATACAAGATCCTCCATTTAATCGCAGAATCCTGTGAGGTGTGTTAGACAGTGAGCAATTTGGCAGAGTCCTCTGGGTGTTCAGCACTTCTAGGCACACTACACTGACACAGGTACTTTTTTAGGCTTTTTGACGAGTTAGTGCTTTTTAGAGCATGTACACTATTGTGCCTTTTGGTACCATTCGTGGGGTTTTCATGGCAAGGGTACTTGCTTGCAAGATTGCTTAAGTTTGCTTTGGCCACAAATTTCAAACCAAAGTTGATCTGGTCCTAGGCATCAAGTGGAGAACCTTTCAAAATGTAGCTGTTAATTCAGAATACCTGTTCCTTTTCTGGGTGATAAGGAAAAAATACATGAAGCTCCACTTCTTTCACTGATGAAGAAGAAAAAAGTAGTGTTGTGAGGAAAAGAGAAGAAATGTAAGTGAGCGCTGAAGAGCTTATTAATCCTCGGACAAAGAATTATGTCCCATCTCATCACTTCCAGAATAGCTTCCATAAAATTAATTACATTCATTTTAGAAACTAAGGGAGCTGGTAAAATTTAGTCCAAACATTTGTTATGGCATGCAATTCTACAACCCAAGAGGTTCACATACTTGTATTATTTCCCAGTTCTTACAATGGTGGGATGATTTTGGTTTCTCCTTTGAACCATCTGAAAGTTGCGCTGTAACTTGAAAATTAGGCTTAGATGATGTTCTTTGTTGTTGTTCAGCCGTGTTCTTAACTATGTTTGAACTGATTAAATAAGCAACATGAACTTTTTAAAAAGGAGTACCTTTATTAAAATGTAATCATTAACACAACGCAATGAAATACAACAGGGTCTTTCTATTGCAGAGGGGGGGGGGAGAGAGGGGGGGGAGGGGGGAGGGGGGAGAGGAAAAAAGAAAGACAAAAGTTGTGCAAGAGACTTCCCAAAAACTAGTACGGTCACTTAGAAGGAGAAATGGACATAATAAATGTTTTTAGGGAAATTCTTTAGGTATGTTTCAACCTCATATACATGAGTGCATTTGCCAGCAATGTATTTTATGTGAACTTGTGCAAGCAAACCTTGTATCCTGTGGTCTAGATACTCGCTTGTTAGCATTTCCAATTTTAGGCTTAATCCAAGAATGGGTTCAAGTAGGTTGAATTAAATGGACATCAGACCCATAACTAGATCTAGCTTTAAAAATAAAACTTGGAAGACCCAGCACAAATGTAATTTACAGAGATTGGCAATTCTCCAAAGACACTTCATCATAAGACTATGTCCCATATAAAGTTGCCTCTGAGCCATCTTCTTGGATTTGAGGACTACCTATTGGAGAAAAAAAAGAGAAAGCAATTATACTGCAAAAGTCACATATCAATATTTAATTATTAACGATATTTACATCCTTTTTACCAGCAAGGAATGGAAGGTAGCTTACCTAATCCTCTGCATTTTATCCTCACAATAATCCTGTGAGGTAGGTTAGGCCAAGTCAGTGCCTGGTCCAAATCACTAGTAAGTTTTCTGGCCAAGAGGGGCTACCTCCCAAATTTCAGGCACTAATCACTGGCTTTATGTTTATGGTTCTTAAAGTCACTTTAGTTGTCCCCTCCCAGATGAAAAGAGCAGGCAATGCTAAGGAGCTACACGTCTGTTCAACCCACTACAAGCTATAAAAGTAACTGATTTTCAGTTTAAATTCAAGGTGTTCTTTGTACTTCTGCAGTACAAAGGACACTCTGAATTACAGATGCTGCTTCCATGTATGGATGCAATTTTTCAGGGCCATGGCTTCAAAAGAACAGCAAAAGCCGAGTTATTTTAGAAGTCAAGAATACATTCATGAGACGATAAAAAAGTAGAAAAAAAAAGATCCTCAAAGAACAGACACCCCAGAATAGAGGTGCACTGTGCAAACAAGAACCCCCCCATCCATGTGTTAAGTTCTCCCCAGATAATAAATTGCCAACTCTTTCCCACTCAGTTTAGTGCGCTCTCCACAATATTTCTTTCTTGCCATAAACCTGTAAAATTCGATCAGGCTCTTGGAAACAGAACAAATAGAACATTTTAACACCCAAGTTTCAGAAGCGATCTGTATGGCAAAAACAGCCTTGTCACCCTATCAAGACGAGTACATTTTAGATATGCAGGAACTGCTTAATCAGCTTATTCCAATGGCATGTTAACTTTCAGAACACAGTCATTTCTTTTTTCTCTCTTGTGAAATAAGCCTTGGTCCAGCTGATTGGGGCCAGCATTCTGAGTTTAATTAGGAGCTCATTAGGCCTTTGTGGCAGGTTGTTCTGAAATCTGTTGGACTGTGTTCCTGTGCTTAAACTGCTTAACTTAGTCATTGCAGCTGGTCCCTTCCAAGCTTGCAGTCTTGTCACAATTGCCTATTTTGGTGTGGGTTCTGAGGGAAGCCGCAAACTAGCCCTAATGGGATATGGGATCATTCTGGAACTGCTACAGGGAGCCCTTCCATTATTTGTTAGCCGAATTTGCATCTCACAGCTTGGGGGGAGGGGGCATCTGCTGCCTGGCCACTTGCCCCTTCCAGTTACAATTAACAATCCAGGAATGCTCCATTTCTGGTTTGTTTCATGATGCACAAACCTGGGAACAGGGCTGTTAAACCCAGAGTTAAATTATGGTTTGCTGTGTGTTAACTCTAGGTTGTCCAGCCTCTAAACAATCCAGAATTTTTAGGTTTGGATGTCATGAAACAACATAGAAATTATTACCTGGATGCAGAAGCAGGTGGGAACCAGCATATTAGTTCATTCCTACATGCTCATAAACAACCCATGTTTAACAAGCCAGGCAAACAGATGGCTTGATCAGGCAAATTGGATCTTGACCCAGTAAGTTAACAAAGGAACCACATACTAGCGTCCATGGGGCAGCCTTTATTTCATTAGGGGTAGTCATTGTTATAACAACTTAGGGTCCCTGTTAGGTCCAGGTCAGGGAGGAAGCCTCTGTGACTAAGAAAATGACTTTTCAGGTGTTCCTATTAAATAGGGAATGTGAGCTCTCTGCAATTTCATGCTTTCCTATTTATTCGTTTACTTGTACCCTACTACCAAAAAGGGCACTCAAACTGCCTTATAATTGCTAATAATGCTTAATGGAAACAATAATAAATACATTAAACACAAAACACAAGAACAGTTTAAAAACCACCTCTGCCCCAACACCCCAAAGGCCTGCTTGAATAAGTCTCTGACTGCTAGCAAGGAGGGAGCAAACTTAGCTCACTAGGCAGGGAGTTCCACAGGCCAGAGGTGGCCCTGCGAAAGCCCTCTTGTGTGTTGCCACCAAATGTGCTTCTGAAGGTGGAGGCCTTGCAAGAAGGGCCTCTCCAGAAGAACTTAAGAACTAGGCAAGTTCACACAGGAGTCAGTATTCCTCCAGGTAGCCTGGTGCCAAGCCATGTATCAATCAAATTGATCAGCTGAAAGATACAGAAATTTGGTAGTAGGCAATCTGTAACTGACAGCATCCCAGCTGACATGCTGAAAGTTGTGTGTCTTGGCAATCTGTTTCCAATTCTGTGTTCTGGCACATTCCTTCCAACAGCTAGCAGTAAAATCCTCAAATTTAACAATCTGATAAATCTTGGGAAAAACCAGCCATTTTAGAAAACAGCTGGGCAGAAGGAAAGACTTTTGTTGGTGTCCCCGCGTAGCTGAAATACGGCTTCTGGTGTGCTGGGGATGGGATATTGGGACTCCATTTTTCAATCCCAGCCGGCATGGTAATGGTAAGGAATTAGTTTATCACCAGAAATTATAGTTTATCATCAGGAAGGACACAGGTTCCCTGCCTATGCAGTTCCCTGCTGCCTTCACTGGTTTTCTTTTTTTTTAAAGAAAAGGAAATGGTATCCCCAATGGCTCTTCAGTGACTGTTGTAATAACATACGTATTCAGCTTATTTGCAAAAGTAGATCATTAGCCAGTGTTGGCCCTCACAGCATTCTTTAGGGGGATAGAGTGGTTTGCCACTTAATTTTGGTGGCAAAATAGCAATTTTCTCTTTTAAAAAATTTTGGGTGGCAGCATGGGAAATTATGGGGCATAGAATGCAGCTTCTGAAATATGTGTGTGTGGGGGGGGGCTTTAAAGCATAAAATGATGAAGATGCACAGAATTCAGCTTTTTCTAATGCAGAAATTGAACTTAGATTTCCTTCCTTCCTAAAAGCATGGAATACACAGCCTTGCTCATCCTTCTCCTATCCTCCCTTGTCTGAACAGGTCAGAAATCAAGTGCCAATCAGAGTTTATGGAACTGGAGTGATCGTCCATGCAAGCACAGGCTACTTGAGCCACAAGTGACCTTGGTTCCAGACCCAGACTAGTAGAAATGGCTGAATAGCATACCCAACTTGTGCTCAACAAGAGCCATTTTCCACCCCGAGCTGCAGAGCACCGCCTGTAAACAGAGAACAAGAGTAAGTATCCTCAGAACTGTAGATTACTTGAAGCAAAATTTGGCAGGACTCTAGCATGCAATTTAAACACTCCAGGAAAAGAAAACATGCAACTTAATACCTAAGTTCTAGAAATTTTAATATCGTGAACAGCAATATTGGGTCAATAAGGGCTGCGGTTTTTACTTTAATAACTGAAAAGATTTTGTTGGCAAACACAGAGGACTAGCTACATCCATTTTTGATATTTAAGGTTTGATTCTTTTTGCTTTTTTTGCCCAAGGTTACGGTCCATTGACAAAAGGGCACACGTATTAAAACATTATTAATAATTTATGCAGAAGCAAGTGGATGTATTTTAAGTAACTATTTTTAAAACATCTTTTTTAACATAATTTTGCATTAAAATTAACATCTGAAGAACTTCTTCAATAATAAAAAAAGTTTATGCAAGTTGCCGTCACAGTTTATGTAAAAGAAATGTGCTATTAAAATCAGACATTTAGGTTACCTTTTGAGTTTTTCGGTGCATGTTAGCTTTAAGACATCCTGAATTCTCCTGCGATAATTTTCCTTTAAAAGGGGGGTTTGGGCGATCTTTTCATCAAGCAAGACATTAAGCCCTGAAAGCTGACTCCAAACCGTTGCGGAAAATTCAGTTATTTACATTTTTTTAAAATAACAATCTACAAATACAACTCTCTCTCTCTCTCGCTCGCTCTTTTTGGCTTTTAAAAGTTTCCCTCAATCATGCACTGCTATGAGCAATTTGACAATAACAGTGGACTCTTTTTTTCACCCCCAAGCAGTTCTTTCCCAGGGAATAACTGATTTTATGATTTTGCCAAGAAAGGCAAATATGGAAGCCACCAACTCTACACAGCACTTTTCTGCCTTTTGCCAAGCTTGCAAACAGTTGCACTGCCCACGCAGATTCAAGCCTTCCTTCAGAGAGGCAACCTGGTCCTCTTCCTCCTTTGAGGCAACCAGTCACTACGATGGGGCTGGGCAGACAAGATGGCTGTTTGCAAAGCGGGACGATGCACCTTTCCTAACAGCCTGCTGCAAGCATCTGCCTGCACCCTGCATAAGCCACCACTCCGACTGTGGAACCAAAGGGAAGGCCACCCTGAAAGGCGGGCGGTGGCAGAGGACAAGAGCATCTGTGGCTATGTCACAGGGGAGGAGTTTCCTTTAATACTGGTAAAGATCCCTGGAGTTCTTAGGAAGACATTATCCTAAGCTGATGAACTATTACTTCTGGGCCAATCGTTTCAGGCTCTGCAGTCCCCTGGGAGCATTCCTTGTGCAAGCGTCACCAATGTGAACGGGGCTTGTGAAAGGATGCTGCAGTACCCTCTGGAAACGAACAGGTGCTCCAAAGGGGCTGGTGCTCAGCAGGTGCCCACAGGCAGATGGACGTGAAAGAGAGCACTGAGGCTGCCGCCCAAAGCCCAGTTGAGGGCACAACAGCTCAACTTCCAGGGGGTGAAAAACATTTTGTTTTAAATTAAGCTTACTCAGCTTGGTAAAGTTTTAAAGTTTCGGAACACACCATTTTAAAAACGTCTTTGGAGTTTAACTGTCTTTTTTTTTAAAAAACAAACAGACCATGTACTTTAGCATTAATTTAAATTTATTGAGAGAGGAAGATCTATTTTACTGCTTGACCAAAATTAAAAAATGACAATTCATCACATTTACTTTGATTAAAAAAGGACTGAACTTTATTGACAAACTGCTGCAGACATCTTGACAAATTTTAGCTACCTATTTAGGCAGGCTTACACATGTAGTAGCATTTAATCTTCCAAGAACAAATGGGAGGACAGCGTACAAATCTTATGTACAAAATAAGCTTTCTCCTTGGTTTTTCAGCTGCATTGTCCCTTTTTAACATAATGCTAGTGCTGAGACATACAAACATGTCATTGGAATGGCTAAAAGCTTGACAGTTTTGCCAATTTTAAGCCTGAGCTGTATTATGTACTGCAAACACTCAAGTGTTCAGCTCTTCCTTTAAGAAAAAAAGAGACACAATGCACAGCTATCCATTTAATACTTCCTAATATCAAAACACTGGGCAGTTAGAGCAATATAAAAAATTACAGAGCAGCTCAATATCCACTTCTCTTAAAAGTTCTTCATGCAGAATTAAGCTAAGAACACCTTTTGCTGGAAAACCTTCGCCACTAGCATCTCCACGCTGGGGCTAGATTTCAAAACCCACATGGTAAGAGTCAATGTTACAAACCTAATTTTTTAATTAATTGACTGAAGAAAAACACCACTGTTTAATTTGTTAAAGAGGATCCTTTCTATTAACATTTAAACTTAAGATTAATCAAGCCATCTGCTTTTAAGGGCAAAGTTTTGACATTTGAGCTTACTTTTAAACTGCGGCAGTCACTACCATTACATTATGATTTTAATTCATAAAAAACAACCCTGAATTTTGAAATGTAGCCTACTTTGGGATTCTGCAACTACAACTTTTATGGGTCACCTAAGAAACAAAAAATACTTAAAAATTAACAAACTTTAATCTCATAACTGTTAAGCAAGCATGTCACTTTGGAAACTAACATTTTTATCTCAACGTTTTCTTTTTAAAGGTACAGTTGTGTTTATATATATCTAAACAGAAAGAAAAGCAGTCTACACACTTAAAAACTGAATTCAGTTTTCTAAATCTAACTTATTTTAAAAGTACTACATACAGAAGCCAGAATGAGGATCAGTGGTGGGGAGGATGGAGGTGGGAGAAAAAGGGAGCCAGAGAAAAATCAGGGAGACAATTACTTGTCTGTTGTGGGTAAAGCAACAGGAATCCTGGGAGATACAAGAATCAGAAACAACTGTTTGCTCAAAAGTGATATTTCCCCCTCAGAAAACTTTAATAGCGTCCGTATGGGTGCTCTCTATATGCTCCCTTCACAGGCCGAGCTGGAGGGGCCTTGAGGGAGGGCCTGGTTCCATTCCAATCATCTTGACCTACAGAAAGTAAAACACATTGGTACACTTACACTGAGCCAAGAGAAAAAGAGAACAACAGATCTGGTTTGCCTGAATTGTGTTAGCCAGTCATTTGGAGAAGACTCCAAATATAGGGATGTCAGTGGGCTACCAAATGGTGTGATGGGGGGGGGGGCACAGCGGCACTGGCAGTGCACAGATGTGGCCCTTGCAAGCCACAGAGGGACTGCACAATTGTCAAAAGCCCAATGCAGACTGGTCAGAATTTACACACTGCATTGACCAGTTTGCTGAGCAGCAGTTTTATCCATTTCCTTTAACAAACACACCCCAAACTTTGTTACCCCAAAGCTACTTTTCAATTAGTAGAGTTTATCTCCTGCTTTCCTTCCATCACAGAACTTGTTAGTGCCACAGTGGAGCCCCATGCTTGCTACCTGCTAGGCCCAGACTTGCTTAGCTTCAGCAAGGAGGCTACACGGGTGTCCCTGCAGGCCATGCCCCTCCAAGATGAGCCCAAAGCCTCTTCAGTTCTCAGGAAGAGGACACTGTTTCTCCAGAATGCATGATACTTTCCATAATAAGGAAAAGAGGAGCACTTAGGGAGTTGGGAAAACATGAAATTCCTTTCAAGGAATGAGAAATGGTTCTGTTGAAATCCCTCCTCTTTTGACTAGTAAAAGCTCAAAAGAACCATGCTCTCCATTTAGCATGGATGCTTTCTTATAGGAAACAATTGATAGAAAAGAGAATATGCAAAGCTGGAGATGCAAATGACTGCCCTGTTTCCCTGTTGTGGCCCATACCATTCAGTCCCCTCATTTTGTCTGCATGAAAGGAGGCACTGAAGCAAACTGCTGTGGCTGAACTATTTAGCAGAAGCAATGTTGCACCCAGTGTCCAGGAAGGAGTTTAATCCCTCAGGCTGGTGACACAGCTAGAAACAATCATGCTAGAGGCCCAGAAGTTGTGCTTGTGGCTGGCCAAAGCAGGGAGGGATCAGAGTGACTGGAGGTCAAAAGTTAAGCACAGCCAGCGCCTCTTATAGTCACCAATACCTTAATTTGATGGGGAGCGCAGGATCTCAAGGTGGCATGGGTCTGCCTATGTGGGGCCAGAGATTTTAGCATATTCAGCTTAATTCAGAACACCTGGGCAGCTAAACATGCTTCTGTGCTGGTGAGTTACAGTTTTGAGTGGTGCAAAGTACTGGGGACAGGATTCAGCATCTTGAGAAAAACATGCTTTACAAAAATGCATGCATTTCCAGCCTTAAGGTTTTTCAGATTGGCTGCAATGTGTATGAGGAGGACCTGCTAGAATATTTTAAGGTGGAAGTGAAAAGGAGAAGACTGCAAGTTTTTAAAATTCTCCCCACAGTGACTTGCCCTTTCCTACAGAAAGCAGAATTGTGCAAACATTGCCTACCATAACGATACATAGCAGATCTGCTTCAGTAGAGCAGAATGACATGAAAAACTCCCTCCTAAGTTTACAGTCTTGAAGTGACTTCTTAATGCACCTGAGATTATTAGCTAATGAAAAGATCACTATTCAAGTAGATGTGTAAATTATCCAAAAGGCAAATTCTACCCCAAGCTCTCTTCTGAAAATGCTTGCATCTAAGACAGAAAATAACCAGAGAGAAATACTTCAGGTGCAGGGCCAAGCAGTTTTCAAGTGAACTATCGCTCTGCCTCTGCTATAGTGATGGAACATGCAGACGTACCATATGCCTCGTAAGATTCTTGAGCCTCACCATGTCCGTAATCATAATATTCTGTTTCCCTGCAAGAGCCAGATGGGGCACGATTATTCCCTGAGGTGGTGATCGCCTTTTCTGAGCATTACATCATTATTCAGAATGGCCCAATTCAACCTCTCATGTGCTAAAGCGCTACCGCGTGCATCTGCTTCTTACCATGGCTGGAGATTCCCTTAATTCAGCACATGGCACTTGCGCCCATGATTGTCCAGGTGCATTGTTATAAGCAGCACGAGGCACGAGTCCTCCTGGCAGTGGCCACCACAACCAGCAAAGAGACAGTGCCAATGACAACAGGGGGGGAAGACAAAGGCTCGGTGGGCAAGTGGGAGCCCCCTGCTTGTCCCTGAGAAACAGGGACATCTGCTGAGCCTTAACCAGAAGTAGTGGCTAAAGCTGGGCCCAAGGACGGCTGCATATAGCTGCTCTTTTTTGTGCAGTGGGAAGTGGCCCACCCTGTCCCAAGATGCCCAGTGTTTCTTCTGGCCGAGACAGTAAGCAGCTAGGAATGAAGCAAACAAATGGGAGCCAGAGACCAAATGCAGCACTTACTGTTGACCCTGGCTGTAGTAGCCTTCGTATCCTTCGTAACTTTGATCTGCATAAGCATCATCATAGCCCTAAAAAGAACACAAAGTTAGGGAGGAAGTCAGCAACCATAAAGGGAAAACAGCAAGGTAGAATCTGAGAGAACAAAGAAGTTTTTCTACACAAGACAAGTCCATGTCATGAGAGTCAGCACACACTGGAAAACCACAACACGCCCTTAATTCACGCTTTAGGTGGCCACCCAAGAGATACCCTTGGGAATGTTTCACACATCAAAAAGGCATACTCCAGTAAATGAGACAATAGTTTATTACACTGAGAACTAGGCTTGTGCTCATGCACTCCATTTCTTCCTTCCCTTATCTCACACACTATTCTGGATACTTTCAAGGTTGCCAAAATCAGTTTGTCATTGCAGGAAACTGGTTTACTCTGGGGAAACAAACAAGATACAGAAACAGGGCCTAGGTAGTCTTAGGGGAAACCAGTTTCCTAGCTAGCAAACTCTGGAGGTCTTTCATAATGGTGAGATGAGGGAAGAGAAAGAAGAGCCAAGGAGCACCGTAGGAGGCTGTTGTGTATCAGGCCATATACATGTGTGCATGCAAAGAAAGCAGTGCATCATACACGTACACTCCGCAGAAAAGGTGAAAAAAGAGAAATGTACCTATTGGTGCAGGAGAACAAAGACGCTGCACTTGATTTTAAAAAAAAATGTGTTCACCATAAACGTTCAGAAGATCAGGATTAATTGGAGCTCTGCTGTAGGTACACTCATGACAATGCAGACCAACATTACCAGAATTTGCTGCATGTGCCCTCGCCAAAAGAAGTGTATGTCAAACTCAAGTTTCCCCCTCAATCAAATGCCACCCATTCATATTCTTTGGACACTTCATTTATATCTCGCCTGGTCCTTTGTTTAGATACATGAGGCTGGCAGGTTATAGACAAGACATCCGCCTCAGGCACTTAGGAGTGGCAAAGATGAAAGTTTCTTACATAATCTTCGTATGTCTCTGGGGCAGGAGGAGGAGGAAGAGGTATTCTCTGAATGCCTGCTGCGCGAGCTCTTGGGGCAGGAGCACCTCTCACTGCTGGAAGAGGGGGAACACCCCGGGCAACAGCTGCTCCTCTTGCAATGGCACCTCTCACAGGGGCCCCTCGTACAAGGGCTCCCCGTGGAGGAGGTGGAGGAGGTCCCACGCCACGCCCCCTATAAAGGAAGGGAGAAGTATCAGGCACAGGCTGCCTGCACACATGGAGGCTTAGAACACACCAAGTCTGAAGAGAGAGAGGTTGCCTATAGAGAAGCTAAGCTTGCAACGGTGTAGCGGAGGTCAGTGATGAAATTAACTCTGATAAAACATGCCCTATGATGTGCTGAAGCACAGCCAGAAACGCTTAAATATCAAACCTGACCTGAACAAGCAGCAAAGATGGAGTACCTACCAGAATCACTTCAAAGACAAGCCAAACCAGAACCTCCACCACACCCTAGACTTCTCAACCCCTGAACAAGCCATTGCAGTTTTTCATATTACGAAGTACTGAGGGGAGGGAGGAGGGCACAAATCAGGGCCAAAATACACAGCCCAGATTCTACCATCCAAATGTGTATGGATGTGCTATGAACAATGGAGCCTGACTTGGGTTTTCTAAATTATTTGGATTCTTTTAAAGTTTTGGCCCAAACTTGCCAAAGGGGAAATACAGACAGCAAAGGCATGAAAAAGAGACAGATGCACACAAATAGTAAGCACATTAGAACTTTTATGTTGTATAACATCTAGTCCCAGAAATGCTGAGGGAAAGAAACCATGGAACAGTAGAAGGCAGTTGTGCAGGGCACTTAAACTAATCCCCAACAACTGGAAGCCATGCTCAACCACATCCACCCTGTGCATACTGAAAGCATATAGCTAGTATTTAAGTTTCTGGATGAAACCATGAGGGCCAGAAGCCTTCCAAATTGAAAAATGAAATTCAAAAGTTTCATTTTTCAAATTCATTTTATTTTTTCTTGATAGGGCCAATTACAAACCGGCAATGAGTCTATGAATTATTTGTAAAAATTGTCTGATGAAACAAAGTTATGAGCACCCTGCAAGGCAATCCTCATCCCTCTCCCCCCTTATTTGTGTTTCAGTAGCATACTGAACAAGATATAGCTGCAGGAGGAAACCAAAGCTCAAAACCCACCACCTAGAAGCATGGTTGTGCCTTTTTCTATTGCCTCTCACCTTGTCATCAAGGCTGCCCCACTCCACACACTAAAAAAAAAAGAATTGAAATATCCATTAAGTCCATATTGATTGCTCACCTTCCTGAACTATCAGAAGCACAACCTTAGTGCTTAAGTATGTGAATAAAACAATCAGCAAGAGCTCATCTGTAGCAAGATTTCCATTTCTAGGTATACAGGCTTCTGTATAGCCTGCGGTGCCTGATCCTGCCTAATCTTGGAAGCTAAGCAGGGTCAGGCCTGGCTGAAATCTGATCAGTGGCTGAAATGTTGTGAACTGCCCAGAGAGCTACAGTGATGTGCAATATACTAATGCAATATAATGTTGTTGTTGTTATTTGTTACCTAGGAACAGGTGGAGGTGGAGGTACAGCTCCCCTTCCTCGCACAGGAATTCCACGACCACGTGTAGGTTCTGGCACTCCATTGAGATAGGAGAGCTCCAAAAACTGTTCCTGGCAGATGTCGTCCATCATATCCTAACCAAAAACAAAGGGAATTCATTTCCAAGTCATGCAGAAAGCTCACTGCTGCTGCTGTTCTTTTGGAACCCATGTTTTGTCCAGTTAACTGCAGCCACTACTCAGTGCTCTGCTTGGGAAACAGGTGAGCTGACTAACTCATAGCAGCTGTCACAAAACATTTATCTGCACCCTTCAGAGCAGCTGGGTTTGCTGCCAGTCAAGTGCTTGAAAGCATTAGCACCCTTGAGAATATAAACCTGCCATTCCTACTCAGGGAAGGGATGGTTCCATCCCAAAGAGCAAATGCCCACCCATAAATCTAAGTTGCTCTTCTCATGTCTGTTTCTGTTGCATGTGCTTTGCTATTCCCAGGGGCTGCAATTTCAGGCAATCCGCAGAGGTATTAGTAGCAGAGGAGAAAGTATTTCACTACTCTCCACTACCCTGTAGGGAATCTGGTTACTAATGCCAGCTGGTCTGAGGGGACTCCTCAAGAATGTTGGAACAGCAGAGTAAATAGGAGCAAATGGCTTGCATACAAGGGACTCAAGTCAACGGACTGTATTTGTGAGAACAGCTGCACAAACTTAAATGTTTGCTTTTTAAAACAAGGCACAAGGAAGACCACAAAAGTTCAGAAATATTATAGGATCTGTGCTGTCTTCCGCTCCCAAGGCCTTTCTACTCCTTATGTGGAGGGTTGAGTGATCTTTGTTATCTGTATGTTTTCTATGTAAGCAGCAACTGCAGTAATATCTTATTATCCATAATGGAGCAAACACTGAACTTCTGCTTTGTTTAAGTTCTATCCATCCCCAAGTCTCTTCCAGGAGCATCAGCATGGACAGTCAGTCAGCCTAAGGTAACTAAGACAACTGCCTGCTATTTTGCACACCCTACACATACACACACTTTCCACTGCTGGAATTGATTTCCTCTACTGGGAAATAATGATCACCAGCCATTTTGGAACATTTTTTTTGGCTGTACAAGAGAGATACTACACCTGAGGTAGAAAAATCCAGCTAGACTGACTTCTCTGTGTCAGATAAAATCCTTTCTCTGGTTGACCTGGAGCTTTCAGGGCAGGAATTTCAACACCAGGCAGCAAGAGAGCACTGGTAGCAGATGCAACAAATGCAAGATGGGCCAAGAGGGCAATGCTGCAATATTTGGTGCAGGCCAGAGTACACAGGAAACTCATCTGGAAGATATCAGAACTCTAGATACTCTAAGTGTCACTCCCCTCCTCTGCCCCCCAAAAGCTCTGGCAAGTTTAATGAAGAGAACTCAGGTCCTGATAACTAGTCTTCTGAGGATGTTTGCCCCAAAGCCCAGAGCATTTGCACTGTGTAAATAAAGGTGCATATCAAATCTAGTGGAAACAGATTTGAGAAGTTTAATTTTCTTTTAAGCTTTCCCCCTTATTTTCTGAAAAACATTGTGTACTTGTTAGTAATATTCTCTTTGCTTAGTTTAATCAAGGTAGGCAATGTACGGGTTGGACTGCAATCTCTTTATTCTTCACTGTTGACTGTGATGGGTAGGGTTAATATGAGCTGCAGCCCAACTGGAGGTGGGGGCAGTGGCAACACAAATTGCCCACTCCTGAACCAAGTAACCTAAAATCCAATGTATCTTACAAATGCTTGTGGAATCATTTGTAACTTATTTAATTTGACCCTTATGGTTTTAAATTAAATGTTATGAACCTTCCCTCAGATTCTCATTCTTGCCTTAACTACATGGTAGGAATGAGTACCTAGAGGACCCAACCAGAACCTAAGCAAGATTAGGATAGCAGCTAAAGCATATCTCCTATTCAGAAGTTCTTCCAAAACAGCACAAGGCTTTCCAGATCTAGAAAGAATGCCCAAACTGTGTAGCCAAGTTGGCTTTAAGTTTTGGGGCTAACCAGGGTTGTTCTTATGAGGATAAGATTGAGAAGAGGAGGAGGAGAATTATACAAGCTGCCTTGAGTTCCCTGGAAGGAGAAAAGGCAGGATATAAATACAATAAATAAAAATACAGTATTTATTCAGTAGTGCTTTCTAAACTGTAACCCTTGATGCATCTATCAGCAGCAGTTTAAGTAGCTAACCTGACCAAATCTTGAGACCAACAACTGCAGCTGGTCCAGTATCTTAGTGGCATCTACGGTTTTTCTACTTTTTCAGTGAAACTCTACAAGCTAATTATAATCCTGTCAACTCCTCCTTAGCAGCACTTTATGATTAAAATGGTGGGCATGTCATGAGCAGAGCCGGCTGGAGCCAGGGATCAGACTTGATGGCCCAGAAGGCCCCTTCCAACTTGCTCTGTTGCTCTGTTTCTAAAATGATGATCTCACAAATATCTCCTACTTCTCTATGACCAAGCTTACTTCGTGGAAGACAGCTTGCCCCAGTCTGCTCTGCTTTGCAAAACACTGTCTAGATCAAACATGTCTATATGCTTAGTATTTGGAAAAGATGGTTGCATACTGGAACAAGGAACTTCTTGACTTCTTCCATGGCATGGGCCATAAGAGCATAAGCCTCGCAGGGTGGTCCAAAAACTTCAATGAAGACATGCAGGTCCATATTTAAGTGGGCATACTTTGGATCACCACCCTTACGAAGTTCCTCCTCCTGAAAAAGACAGTCAGAGGTTTCAACACAGAAGAGAACCCATGCAGACGCGCACATGATTGTTTTTTGCTGCTCAAAGGTCACGTGTGTGTTTCTTTGCCAGGTGTGAAAATGGACAAGAGCCTTTCAGAATTTTGACCCATCAACCAGGATTAGGATAATTTCATGTCATTACTTAACTTACAAATGAAAGTCTGGTCATTAATACTGTGTGCAGTACAAGTCCTTTATACAGAACACAACCTGATCAGTCCTGGGTGAACACATCTATGGAACATCAGTTCAAACTACCCATGTCCTAAAGCTAGAAGGGGGGAAATGGCACTCCCAAAAGCAGTCTTCCCCAGCCTGTGTCCTCCAAATACCTTGGACAACAGTTCCTGACCATTTGTCATGCTGCCTAGAGCTGACAGAAGTTGAATTTGACATCTAAAATACCGGGGGGGGGGGGGGCGTATCAGTTTGGGCAGGGCTGATCTAGAGGCTCAATACTGGCCTTTATAATTCCAATAAAAGCTATGGTAGAAAACCAAGTTTCCAGTCAGAACATCTTTTTTTAAAACAACTTACATGGAGATGCAGAAAGCAGGAATATCAATTCTCTGAAGTCCTCCCAAACACATCAACTAGATACACTGGGATGTATCAGAAAACAGAATTAATTTCTGTTTATCAACTCCTGCTCATACATAGGTAAAGGGCCACCACTAACTACATGCTCCTGAGGAATTTACAGTTAAGCCTGCACATCTAGCTAGCCGTTTCCTCCAAGGATAAATACAACACATTTTAGAAACTACAGTAGTACTGAACAGTTCTTTAATGTATTGAACTGTCAAAAAAGGTTGTGATGGCCAACCCAATACTCCACATGGTAATGTGTATGTTCAAATTCCAGTCAAGTCCTGCAGTATAAGAAGATAGTCATAATTCAGTGCAATGTCCTCACCTTTGCCTTGTCTCTCATTGACCCCTTTCCCAGAACAGAGATCTTTGCTCCAGTTTCTTCCTGCAGTCGCTTGATAGTGTTGCCTTGGGGTCCCAATATCTTCCCAACAAAGTTAAACTGAGAGAGAAGAAACAGGTTTTTCTTCATTTAGCTGAGATGACAGAGGACAGCAATTGTAACAATATTTACATTTTGAATAATGCTCACTTCAGATTTCCAGGAAAAAAACAGGACTCAAAATTCCAAAGTTTTGTATAGACACATTAGCAGACAAAGAGTTTGAGAACGCCAACCCACTGCTTCATTATTACACTAAAAAGCCATCTAATCTCAGTCCTGAACCAATAGTTCACTGAAGAACAGTGACCTCTTTCCCTCCAAGCAATTACCTGCTTTGCTGCCAACCCCTTCCACCTATGCCTCTTCAACTTCCCAGCCAACCAGTTAAGACCAGAGGGAAGGGAACAAGTTCAGAATCCATTTCAACACAGTTGATGTGGGAAATGCCCTGCACAAAACCTATTTGTGAGCAAGCTACTTTTCCTGATTAGCTGTACAGTTTGCCACCTGCCTCTTTGCCTGACCATGTTGCTTTTCAGAAGTCTACCCTGGCTTTTCCTTAGCTTTCCAATACCTTTTTCTAACATCATGGTGCCTCTCTCTCCACAAATATTATCCCCCCCCGTTGCTTGACATCCCTCTGGGTTTGTGGCTCCCTTATTCAGAAAGCAGCCACACTCCATGATCTCTATGTCTCTCAATCCATCCAGCCAAAAACAGCTTTCCCTCACTCAGTACTGCCATCATATTATCCTTGCCATTGGATACCCCACCTTCGCCCATACTTCATGTCCTGATGACTACAGTGCTGGCATTGGCCGCCTCCTTTCCAAATCGTCAGTTCCATTTCTCCCTAGCCTCTTTGTGCTTTCATTTCTGGGACAGCCCTTTGAGCTCTCTCTCCCCGTCCTCCACATTGTCCTTTTCACCCTTTTCTCTTTCCTGATGAGCAATCAGGCTGTCCTCATCTAAGTATCCACATGGAACCTCCAACTTCTGGTTGCCACTGCTTCTGTCCACCTGCCAGCCCTTGCTTCTTCCTGCTGTTTTCAAACATGCTACTCTCCCCACTAATCTCAAGGAGTCCCTTGAGCCACTGTCCCTCTCTAACCACTGTCGTTTTCCTTCTGCTCTAACGTAAGCTAACTGTCCTCTAACTGTCCTCTCCCGCTTCTAACAGAGTAAAAATCATTCCCCCATTTGATTCCCTCCATGCTATCTCTGTTTGGATGGGTTTCTTTCTACCCAGAAAATGGTTTCTTCTGTATCTTCATCGGGGAAAACTTTCCTCTTTCCCTCTCTACGTTTGTGCCCCACAGGGCTCTATTCTTAGCATGCGGCTCATCTCATTATATACCCCATCCGTAGATGATCTTAAACTCCCATGGCTTTCAGTACACAGACCTCCCACTCAGCCTACTCATCACTTACGGTTTCAAACACTACTTGAAGTTTCATCATCTCAAGCTCAGCCTGCTTACACCAAACTTCTCTCCTTTTTCCAAGCTCTGCACTCTTTTATTGACATTGCATCATTCATCTGATTGCAGCAAGACCTTTTAATACCAATGGGCTGGGAAACATCAGTGGAAAACTGCTACTGCATTCATGCCTTTAATGTGGGCTTCCCGTAGGCATCAGCTTGGCCTCCATCCAAACAGAATACTGGATTAGATAGGACTGATCTGGCACAGCTCTTATGTTCTTACCCTGCTGAAAAGGTACTAACCCTCGTCTTTGTCTGACTCTTCTCGTTTGTTCCTCACAGCCACTCTGCCATGAAGATGTCTTACTTCTCCCTATACAACACAGCAAAATAGTCTCTTTCTCTGACCTATCAGGGAGTATTCTAGGCCACGTCATCCCACAATTACACTACCTTTTTTGGTCTGTTGCCTCACCCTGGTCCCTTTCTCCCTACCGGCACTCTTATCAAAATCCTTCTCCTTGCTAATATGCAACACCCTTTAAATCCCTACACTCCTGGATTCAGCACAAGCTTCTCATCCTTACCTTCAAAACCATCTGCAACATTGTCCCAGCTTATCTTTCCCTCTTATCGGGGATTTACAAGAATGTCATTCTTGTTCATTAATCAAGCAAACATGTCCCATCTGCAAACATGAATGAGCAGGAGTATAACTCTTGCATTTGAAAGTGCAGTTTTGCAAATGCACCCCCCAAACCTGTATTTTCATGCTTTAGCATATGGGGAAAACTGTATATTTGGGGCACATGGGTATAAAAGTACATACTTTTCCTGTTTAGGGAAGAAATAAAACAAAACCAAAAAGCGGGAGGGGGGGGGGCAATGCAAAATAAACTCATGTTTGGGAGAAAGGATGAGGTGAGCTGAAAAATTGGAACCTTCAACAAGCATGGATATTGCTAATTCTGAACAAGCTTGGCTATAGCTTACTTCTCCATCCCCTACTTCTTGGACTGCCCATGAGCTTTCTTCCTCATGTGCCAACACACTCTGCTGCTCTGCTCTCAATACACCCTTCCTTTTTTCTCTCATTGCCCCATGTACCCAAAACTGCCTTCCAAATCACCTGCATGATGCCACCTTGCTCTTCCCTCACAATTCTCCTCAGAACTCACCTTTTCTCTGAAGCCCTTCTCACTGCTACCTGGTCTGCATAAACAGCTGTAGCCTGCACAACTGAAAGAACTGCTCCTTTTCTTCTTTATGGCTACCTACCCTTTCCCCTGTAACAAATTTGAAACCGTATGTTCCTCCAGCAGGAATCTGTCCTATTGTAAAGCACCATGCACACTGATGGAGCCTCATACATAAAAATAATTGTAGGAGGCAGGAAGAACTAAAGAAAAGCTGCATATGCCAAAACAGCCCTTAAGCTCACAATGGGTGTCCCAAGCTTATGATTGAGCATGTAAAAATGCCAAGAGGGGATACAGCATAAATATTTTGGTAATATTTTACAACAGTATTGAATGTGTTACCATAAGCCAAGTGAAAGCTGTTGTGTGCAGAACTTTACATAAACATTCCTTCACAGAAGGCTTTAGGTATTTGCCACGCTTTACCTTGGGATACTGCTTGACTGGGATCAGAACTCGTTCTTTCAGCTTCATGTTCTTATGGGAAAACAAATCCAGATAGGTTTCTTCTTCATCCTTCTTGGATTCACCCTTCTGAACTTTGTCAATTTCTAAAGACAACAAAGCATACTTCAGATGAAGCACCACTAAATTTGGCTTGAAGGCAGCAAGATAGCTCTGACATTTGCGCAAGTGATGTCAAGCAACAGCTGCTCTGGACCCATTCTCCCTTATGCCTTGTCTCATTATGCCATATTCTGGCAAAATGAGCTCCTAAATCAGGGTAAGCAAGGGAATCTATGGACTAAACTCCCATAAGCCCCGGTCAGCAAGGCCAATGATCAAGGTTTATGTGGAGGGCACCAGATTGCAAACCTTTGCTCCAACCCATCACTTGGTAGAGCAACCTGGCAAATAGCTCCTCTTAAAAAAAGAACCCCAAAGCCATTAGTCAACATGTGACTTATATTGTCTATTTTTTTGCCTAAATGAAATAAACAAGTCTATTTCTTACCTACCACCCCACACTATTTACCAATCTGCTTGAAGGCACTTTTTTCATTTCATTAATCCAACAGCTATTTTGGAACCAGTGAAGTATTTATCTTGAAAGTTTAATCAACATTTGAACCATCATCATTTCTAAATTTAATATTTATTCAATGTTGTAATTTGCAAATCAAGATGATCATATTTGTATTTATTATACTTTGTCATAATTGTGACTGAAGCCCAAACATTTCTAAAAAATCCAAAGAGATCAAACCACCAAACCCCACAAACTGAATCCCCCCATCTCCTGTAATTAATACTTGAAGAAAATGTTGCTTCCTTTTTATGAAGCAATTTCCAAAATAGGCTAAATCCAGCTATACTGTGTTTCCCCAAAAATAAGACCTAACCGGAAAAAAAGTCCTAGCATGATTTTTCAGGATGCTTGTAATGTAAGCCCTACCCCAAAAATAAGCCCCAGTTAAGATCGTCAGCCAGACGGACAGGGAAACATAGTAGTACGTCCGTTGCAACACACAATAGACGTACTGAATTATAAAATAATGTTAATGTATAATTAAATATAAATAAATAATATTATTGACATTAATACTTAAAATAAATGATAATAAAGGTAAAGGTTTCCCTTTGACATTAAGTCCAGTCATGCCTGACTCTAGGGAGCATCTCATCTCCATTTCCGAGCTGAGGGAGCCAGCGTTTGACCGCAGACGGTCTCCATGGTCATGTGGCCGGCATGACTAAACACCAAGGTGCACGGAACGCTGTTACCTGCCCACCAAAGTGGCACCTTTTTATCTACTTGCACTTGCATGCTTTCGAACTGCAAGGTTGGCAGGAGCTGGGACGGAGCAATGGGAACTCACCCCGTTGTGCAGTTTCGAACTGGCGACCTTTCGATCAACCAGCCCAGCACCACAGCGGTTTAAACCACTGTGCCACCTGCAGTCCTCAAATGATAATATGCATTACAATTAGGTACTTGTAAATACTGAAGCAGGCCCCTTTGAACAAGAGGTAAATGCCAATGTAAACAGATAAACGCGAGACTTATTGCCAAATGACCAATCAGAGTAACACAGAAACATAGAAACAGAGCGAGCTAGAAGGGTCCTCCCAGGGCCATCTAGGCTGACCCCTGGCTCCAGCCGGCTCCGCTCACGACATGCCTGCCATGTGCGTGTCCAGCCTATCCTTGAACACCCTTGAGTACAGACACAATGCACAAATAACATCAATACTTTGTGTATTGCGACGGACGTACTTAATGCATGGATGCAAAATGCAAGATTGGTGCAAAAAGAAAGAGCTATTCTGTCGAGTACAAGAAAGGAATCATGGAGGACTCTCAGGGCAAGAATCTTACAGCTTTCATAGGAAAAATAAGACATCACCTGAAAATAAGCCCTTTTGGAGCAAAAATTAATATAAGACCCGGTCTTATTTTTGGGGGGAACACGGTAGTTATGACATCAACTATTTGAAGCTGTATACATTAACAAGCTTGTGATTCACAACTGATAAAATTGGGCTATTTCTGAAGCTCCAAGGTCTTCTCTATACAAGACTGGCTGAAACGTAAGGATTGTAGTACTTCATTTCAAGAAAGGACTAGGGAAGGTCCTGTGTTCTGAAGATGAAGAAGCAGAACACCAAAGTCACGGAAGATGTTGAGAGTTTCCTCAGTAAGTACAGAACAAACCACGGCAGGCCTAACAGTAAACGTACCGGGACCAATGCAAAGGTGCACCTCGCCTCCAACTAAATCAAAACCAACTTAGAGCACAATTAAATATAGAATTTGTTCATATCTTGACATCGAATATCTCTTTCACATTCACACATACATCAACTCCTCTGAGTATAGGTTTGAGGGCACTGGAAGTATTAAGGAATCCCCAACCATTCAGTATGAACTCAGCTAGACAAACATGTGTGACACATTCTATATATATTTCACAAACCTTTTCCTATGTGGAAGCTGGTCTGAATTAGTAGCAAGTAATGGTTAACTCCCCTTCATGGATCACTGCCTTGTCATGGCGAGGGGGCTTGCGTAGCTCAATGAAGCTATGAGCCATGCCATGCAGGGCCACCCAAGACGGACAGGTCATAGCAGAGAGTTCTGACAAGTGATCCAGTGGAGGAGGAAAAGGCAACCCACTCTAGTACCCTTGCCATGAAATCCCCATGGACAGTGATCCATGGACCAAAAGGCAAAAAGATATGACGCCGGAAGATGAGCCCCTCAGGTTGGAAGGTGTCCAATATGCTACTGGGGAAGAGCAGAGGGCTAATACTAGTAGCGCCAGAAAGAATGGAGCAACTGGGTCAAAGACAAAAGGACACTCAGTTGCTGATGTATCTGGTGGTGAAAGGAGAGTCCGATGCTGCAAAGATCTATACTCCATAGGAACCTGGAATGTAAGATCCATGAATCAAGGCAAGCTGGACGTGGTCAAACAAGAGATGACAAGACTGAACATCGACATCTGAGGAATCAGTGAACTAAAATGGACAGGAATGGGTGAATGTAATTCAGATGACAATCAGGTATACTACTGTGGGCAAGAATCCCACAAAAGAAATGGGGTAGCCTTCATAGTCAATAAAAGAGTAGAAAAAGCAGTACTGGGATACAATCTCCAAAATGACAGAATGATCTCAGTTTGAATACAAGACAAACCATTCAACATCACAGTAGTCCCAAGTCTATGCCCCAACCACTGGTGCTGAAGTTGACCAGTTCTATGAAGGCCTACAACACCTTCTCGAATTAACACCAAAAAATGATGTCTTTATCATCATGGGGGATTGGAATGCTAAAGCAGGAAGTCAAAAGATAACCAGAATAAGAGGCAAGTTTGGCCTTGGAGTACAAAATGAAGCAGGGCACAGGCTAGAAGAATTTTGTCAAGAGAATACGATGATCACAGCAAACACTCTCTTCCAACAAGCCAAGAGATGACTCGACACATGGACATCACCAGATGGTCAACACAGAAATCAGATTGACTATGTGCTCTGCAGCCAAAGATGGAGAAGCTCTATACAGTCAGTAAAAACTAGACCAGGAGCTGACTGTGGCTCAGATCATGAGCTTCTGGTTGCAAAGTTTAGGCTTAAATTGAAGAAAGTAGGGAAAAGCACTAGGCCACTCAGGTATGACCTAAATCATATCCCTGATGAAACACAGAAACAGAGCGAGTCAGAAGAGGCCTCCTGGGCCATCTAGTCTAACCTCCGGCACCAGCCATATATGAATATACAGTAGAGATGACAAACAGATTTAAGGAATTAGATCTGATAGACAGAGTGCCTGAAGAACTATGGACAGAGGTTCACAACATTGTACAAGAGGTAGCAACTAAAACCATCCCAAAGAAAAAGAAATGCAAGAAAGCAAAATGGCTGTCTGAGGAAGCTTTAGAAACAGCGGAGGAAAGAAGGGAAGCGAAAGGCAAGGGAGAAAGAATGCAGAATTCCAGAGAAAAGCTAGAGATAAGAATGCCTTCTTAAATGAACAGTGCAAAGAAATAGAAGAAACCAATAGAATAAGGAG